AAAGGTAATATATATTTGCATTATAGTATCTATTTGGGCTGGGATCTACAAATGAATCATTAGTACAAACAGTGATTGGGACCCATTTATTATTGTTTTAAAAAACTAATCTATTTATTTTATTTGTTATTAAGAAGTTAAACCAAAATAATAATGCTATATTGTAAATTTATGATCCCAATTTGTACTCAATCTAAACGACAATTGTTTGACAATGTCTCCTTAATTACAGGATCTAGATAATGATTGTGAACTCAATTACCACATGGATTGGATTACAAAGTGAAAACCCTAACTATGTATATGTAATATTATTTTGTGTTCGTAAACTAGTCTGAACACTCCGATTACAAATAAATAATAAATACGCGTATATTTTCTTACTTGGTAGTTACATAAATTTCAACTTGGTAGCTAGGCATTAATCAAAATTCGAATGATTAACCTTGAAACAAATTTCAAAATAGAAACAGTGATAGTTAGACATGACGCCTCGGTACCATTCAACTTTCCGAACGTCCAGTTGAAATAAAGAGAGGTCCCAGAAAGTTTGGTATTGAGGCATTTAGAAATAAATAACCTCAAGTCACAACGACCCAAATTAAACTGGCAAACCAAATATAAATATAAGTGAGAGACGACTGAGGTCAAGGTAAACGATGGTGCTCAAATTTCATATTGTTTGAAATTCTACTAACTTGACCGAATTAACAATCTTAGTTATTTTTCTGAAAGCACATTATTGACATTTGTGAGATGTTAGCAACCTGAGAAATGACTCCTTCTGATATAAAGATTGTGATGTTAGACATAGTCAAGTCTGGTGTGTGTAAGTAATTAATTACATTTTAATTAAGATGATAAATAAGAGTTTGTTGAACTATTAGGAATTAATTGTGTGATAGAGTTAGGTGTGCTTGCTCTTCCCCTACACTAAGTGGAGGGATATTTGATCTTCATTATCACTCTCTAATTCAAATTTCAATGGAGAGGGTAAGTAGATTGAGAATGTTGGTGACATATTTTTTCTTCTATTCATAATAAAATCATCTTTTAGTTTTTTAAATTGTTCACAAACTACTTTTGAAACCAACTTTTTCACTTTTAACACACAAAAAGGGGTAAAAAGGAATTTCAAAATACAATGTGTTACTATTCATCAAAAATCATTCCTTAGTTTAAGAAATGAAAAATTATTAAATGACACTGTTTGAAGCCTTGAATTGAGAATATACTTTTGGATTTAGGGTTTTTGGTGGGATTTTATGATTAAGAATGGGAGATATGTTGAAATATGTTGAGTTGTTTAGAAGGTGTGAAATGGCCGGATAATTGGGTTGTAATTTGTATGGCATTGAAATGGGGATTGAAATCTACATTTTTTTGGCCGAATTAAATGGTCTTGACTAGATTCAGCCAAAAACACAAGTTTTGTTAAAGAAGATGAAATCGATTTTGGCAAAATACTTGGGATTCAACCGGATTTGGCTTGATTAAGCCAAGACAGGTTTTGTCCAAAACATTGAATAGGTTATGGCATGGTTTCGGCCACCTTAGTATCAAAAGGCAGAATTGGCCGAATCTAGCATGGGTTTCGGTCAAAACTTGTCTTTAACTTCCAACTAATTTTCTGTCGAATACTCTGAAATTGGCTGAAACCCAGACCCAAATTTGCCTAAACCACCCATTTTCAACATATCCATTGAAATAAAGTTTAATTAACTATACAACAAACAAATCATTTCAAAAATAACTTACTCAACATGTTTTTTAGACATATAACATACTCAAAATTTTAGATTTGAAACAAAAAACAAAACTTAAAAAAAATGCTAGTTCTCAACTCCCTCCCCTAATTGTGTCATTTATTATAATTTCTCTTAAATAATTCTCACAAACTATATTGATTTATTTAATTTTCTTAAATAATCAAATATTTATCTTACATATGTTTGCTTACATTAAATATTTTAATATTTCCTTTCTTTATATCATTATAAAATATTTGTATAACATGATTTCATTGAATAAAATGTATGTTAAATATTTAAATATTATTACATAAAATGTTTTCGTTATTTTATAAATGTTTAAATGTTGTTATATTATAAATATTATGCATTAAAATTATTTCTTTCAATCATCATTCATATTTTTTAACTTTAGCAAAAAGATATTGTCCACGGAGGATATAACAGTCAATTTACCCTCTAGCATTAAAGAAAAATTGCAACACCGTAATCTCCATATTTTTTTACTGAATTAAGTTTTGAAAAGACAGAAATGGTTTGTGAGGAATATCCCAATCCGCTAATTTTTTAAATTACTACTATTTAAAAGTTTTGACACATTTCTAAATTTCTAATGTTGATAGCTTCTAAGTTACCAGCAAGACTACGCACCCTTAACTTCTTTCTCATATCCTTGGAAATTTTATATATCTTAGTCTCTATGAGGTTTTCAATGGACCATCCCAGAGTTTAGTGAAAGAAACAAGAAGACTCCCAGGCTTCGAAATGAAACACTTATGCTTTTATAATGAATAGACATATTGAAAAATTAATTATAGACAGAATCTGATACAATAACTAATATATCCTTATTTTGTCTTTCTCCTATAATAAAAGAAATTAGTATCTTCATTTGTCACATGATCGAAATATTAAATAATTACTTTTTATAATATTATTCAATTATAATGGTATAATTGTTCTATTCTGAAACATGTAAGTCTCCTTTTATTTTACTAACCTCAAGGGTGTCCACACAAAATTCTCTAGTTTTCTATCTTGAACTTTTGTAACACTAGTGATGTTGCACTAATCAATTTTAACCATATCATATTATCTTATTTCATCATTCAAATTATTTAATCAATATAACATATCATATGACATCTATGACTAAGTATTTAATTGGGATCCTAATGTATTTATGTAAACATCTTAGTAAAATGATCAAATCATGTCCTTTGAAAGTATACGCAGACATGCCTAACTTATTCGACAAATTAATTTTGAATCGTTAGCGAGCTATTAGATTTTAACTGAACTCTAATTTATCATGTTTCGTTAAATCGACTAAATTTTATTATGTTCAAACCTAAATAATAAAATAATATAATAATAATAATAAATAATATATATAAATCATAGTATTACCATTAATATAGAATCAGCTGGAAATCTGATATAGTTTTTTTTTTTTTTTTTTTTTTTGGGTCTAATCAAAGGGTTTCGGTTGGTTTCAGCCAAAAACCTCAAATTTGTTGGAGAAGATGAAATAGATTTTTGTTTGAATACCTTGGATTCAGCGGGATTCAATTGGATTCGGCCGGATTTTGTTGGATTTGGCCAAGACAAGTTCTGTCCAAATGGCCGAATCGGTCGAATGGCTTGGTTCCGGCTACATTATGCCACCTTAGTATCAAAAGGCAGAATTAGTCTATTCCAGCTAAATCCGACCAACATGTGAGTTTCGGCCAAAACTTGTCTTCAATCTCCAGCAAATTTTTTTTTCCAAATCCTCCGAAATAGGTTGAAACCCACCCCATATTTCGTCTAAACCACTCATTTTCAACATATCCACTAAAATATAAGTTTAATCAACTATATCAACAACAAATCATTTTTTTTTTTAAAAAAAAAAAAATTTCTTTAGTATGTTTCCTAGACATTATATGCAACATATTCAAAATCTTAGATTTCAAACAACCTTTAAATAACAAAACTTTAATTTAAAAAACAATATATCAAGAAATCTATTAAAAAGTGTTCTTCAAGATCACAAATTCAAGTGTTCACTTAGGATTTTATAATGGAAGCATGGGTTTTGAATTAATGTTTAGGGATTTGTCATTAGGGACAATTCAGTCCACCAAGTTTGTACTAAATGGAAATGTGCTGTTTCTCTAAAGTTGAAACAGTTTCAAAAAAGTGCTAGTCCCAACTCCCTCACCTTAATTGTGCCATTTTAATATAATTTCTCTTAAGAAATTCTTCACAAACAATCTTTGATTTTATTTAATTTTCTTAAATAATCAAATACTTATTCTTACATATGTTTGTTTATATTAAATATTTTAATATTTCCTTTCTTTATATTTATTATAAACTATTTGTATAATATGATATTGAATAAAATTTATGTTAAATATTTAAATATTATTACATAAAATGTTGTCGTTATTTTATAATGTTTAAATGTTGTTTATATTATAAATACTATGCATTAAATTTTGTTTCTTAGCAAATGAATAATTGTCCACCGAGGATATAACAGTCAATTTACCCTCAAGCATCATAAGAAAAATTGCAGCACGGTATTCTCTTAACTCTAAGTATGTTTACTGAATCAAGTCTTGAAACCATAGAAGTGGTGTATGAGTTATGACGAATATCCCAATTTGCATTACAATTTACGAAAACACTATGCTAATTTTTCAAATTACTGCTGTTTAAAATTAAATTTTTTTGACACATTTCTAAATTCGTTATTTAATATAACTCTTTTTTATGGGTTAATTGGGTTGTGCACTGATGGATGTAGTGTTGTTTGACTATTTAGGATAACCATATCTAATATCTCAATTTCTTGGGAAGATTTAGGTTTTATTATTGAATTGACTTGCAACGGCAGATCATAGTGCACATCATAGGGCTTTTACCATATGGAAATATAGTGCCATCTCATCTGTGTGCTTAATCCATATTTTGAAGGTTTAAAAATTTGAAGATCAAGGTTAGTTATGGAATAAATTATGAAATATTTATAAATTAAATTTTTTGATGAATTTAATTTAAATGAGGCTTATAAAGAATTTTGTTAGGACTCGTTTAAATAAATAAGGATTAAAAATAGTTTTCACTATTGTTAGGAAGTGGGATCATTAAATAAATTGTGGGCCAAATAGATCCATTCTTATGCAGATTTCATATCGGGCCCAACAACCCATTTTCACATCTAGATGAATACGACGTCGTTAAGTCAGTAAGACCACAGTTATATTGGCTGCTTGTCCGCTGGGCGTCTAGGGTTTCTGAGATTTTAAAGGGAGTTAAGCCGCGCCACCAACATCAGCAACCATGGTTCTCAAGTACGTCTCTCTCTTTCTTTCATCTATCATTTCTTGTGCTCATTCTGCTTCTCTGCAATTTTCCATTGTAACTTTAATATAATTTGATTAATTTCTGATTCAAGTTATAACCCATAACACGACAGAACTGGGATCTCAAAATACTAAGTTAAAATCCGCAAAGTATTAGTTCAGGAAAAAAGAAACTGTTATTTAACTATGTGAATATAACTAATGTGCCGAGATAATAACATAAAATTTAACTATATTTTATGTGGTTGTTGCTTATCTTGCAAATTCTAGAATTTAATATTACTTATTTTCTGTATCAGGACTGAACTTTGCCGATTCAGTGGTGCCAAGATATATCCCGGTAAGGGTATCAGATTTGTTCGCTCTGATTCTCAGGTATTTTTGCTATCGGGCTGTTATATTTTTTCGTGATTTGTTGAGTAATCTTGGTGCAAGTTTTTTGTAGGCATCCCTCTGGTGATTCTTTTTGCACGTTTCTATCATGTTGTGGAATTTGATTAAGTGTGCAAATGGCTGTTTAATAGATTATGTTAATTGGAAATTTTGTCAGATTTATGTTATATGGATAGACCTTGTTATAGTGAAAAATTTATTCAAGGGTTGGACGGATTTGTCACCACAAATACACTATTCAGACAAGTGATGCCTCTGTGTTATTGTTGTAGGTTTTCCTCTTCGCCAATTCAAAATGCAAGAGGTACTTCCACAACCGTTTGAAGCCGTCAAAGCTTACATGGACAGCCATGTACAGGAAACAACATAAGAAGGTACTTTCTTGTGTGGAATTGCCATTGTCATATGTGCAAGAAAATAAAATTCTCGTGAAATCTTGATCTCCTAATTTATCACTAGTTACATTAGAGTTCAGCTGTTTATATTCTTTATTTGCTATTCATAGGACATTGCTGCTGAGGCTGTAAAGAAGAAGCGCCGATCCACCAAGAAACCATATTCAAGGTCTATCGTTGGTGCCACCTTGGAAGTTATACAGAAGAGGAGGACTGAGAAGCCAGAAGTCCGAGATGCTGCAAGGGAGGCTGCACTCCGGTTTGTGCTCAATGTCCATTTTTCATGTTTACTCGGTACGGGTCTTGAGAATAAACTCTGTGTTTTGCTAGCTTTGCTAACTGTGACTATGTTTTATGATTATCAGTGAAATTAAGGAGAGGATCAAAAAGACTAAGGATGAAAAGAAGGCGAAGAAAGCAGAGGTGATGGCTAAGACACAGAAGACCAAGAGTAGCATGCCTAAAGGCGCTGCACCAAAGGGCCCCAAGCCTGGTGGTGGTGGTGGAAAGCGATGATTTACTCCATCTCTTCTCTTCTTCCTTAGTATAAACAGTTAAGATTTTGTTTCCGTATTTCATGTATGGATCCATTAATCATTATGGCTTTCGTTGTTTCTGTTGTGATATTTGTTGGGAGTTATATTTGCTTACTATTTACTTAAATCAAAGTTTTTTAATGCATCATTTGTTACTTTTTGAGTATATCTTGATGGGTGCTGTTCGATGTTTTGGTCTTCTGATTTATAACATCTGCTAGCTTGTAGTTTGACAGCATACAATTTTTCCAGATTTCACCCTCAGGTTTTGTTATTTGCTTAGCACATTTTACGCAGTTAAATATAATTGTTTAGCCTTAATGGAAAGGTTATATTGAGTATCAAGTTGTAGTTGTAGAACTGTATGGTTAATGCGGAGGAATGGTACATTGTTAGTGAATTGATTCCATAAGATAATAGATTTAATTTAATTTTTGTCCATAAAACCTGGCATGCGCATTGACAATTGAGAAGCTTGATTGAGCTTTCACTTTGTTATCTCATAACAAAATACTTGCTGTATCCACATCTGTTCTATTTCCAGTTTGACAGTTCATTAAATGTGTTTTGGTCTTTGAATCCTTAGCGATTGCAACTGGGACTGCAGAAAAGGTTAATGATGAAAATCAGTTGGGACATTATTTTGCGTATTTCGAAGAGTGTTTTCATTTAAACCAAACGGAATAATCCTTCTGGTACTCTTACAAAACTGAAAAAGTTACGAACTAGTATCTCTTCTCAGATGATTTTGATGGCCCCAGCATCTGACATATATCACATGAAAATCAGATGATTTTTAAAGGCAGACCTTAATTAGTTTATTAATGTATGCATGAGTTTATTCTCACATGCAATCAAGAACTTTTTTTTTTTTTTTTTTTTTTTTTTCCAACAAGCAAGATTAACCATAATAATTAGGAACATTTTTGGGAGTTGCCCGTCTGCCCCTGCATCAGTACCCTGTGAATGGTCTAAGTCAACAACCCCTTAATAAATTCCACCATTGAAGACTTATCAGAATCAACGTCCGAATTTCCCATCTCTGATTCTTTTTACATATTCATTTCTTTGTCCTCAGCAATCGATCGTTGAGATCACTGGATCCTTATTTTGATTGGGGGGCTCTTCTTCTCTCCTCTAATGTCGTAGCTAGGCATTGAAAAACATTATTAACACTAACAGTTGATTTTCCTTTTGGCTCTTTAGTCAATTTAGACTCACTGGGAACAGTTTCATCGCGTGACTTTTTAATGGCACTGGTCCCTATAATGTCTCCCTTCTGTGAAATACCTTTACCTTTTTTGATGACAAGTTGGAACACTTCATTATCCACAGCTTTTGCTTTAGACTGATCCCCATGCTCAACTCTACTCTTAGGCCTGGGCTACATTATTAACTCTAGCATCTGGTATATATATCATCAAATTATTTTCATTATTAACTCTTTAAACATGCACATGTTTTTACTCTACATTATAAATAAAGGATATCTTCTCCTGATTCTTTCTGGGCTATTGCGGGCTAGAATTTGGCCCAAAGGGTAATATAATATATTTGGCATTATAGTAAATCTATTTGGGCTGGGATCTACAAATGAATCATTAGTACAAACAGTGATTGGGACCCATTTATTATTGTTTTAAAAAACTAATCTATTTTATTTTATTTGTTATTAAGAAGTTAAAACCAAAATAATAATGCTATATATGTAAATTTATGATCCCAAATTTGTATCTCAATCTAAACGACAATTGATTTGACAATGTCTCCTTAATTACAGGATCTAGGATAAATGATTATGAACTCAATTACCACATGGATTGGGTTACAAAGTTAAGACCCTAACGATATATATGTAATATTACTTTGATGTTCGTAAGCTAGCCCGAATTCTCCGATTACCAAATAAATGACGCGCTATATTTCCTTATCTTGGTAGTTTACATAAATTTCAACTTGGTAGCTAGGCATTAATCAAAATTCGAATGATTAACCTTGAAACAAATTTTCAAAATAGAAACAGTGATGAGTTAGACATGACGACTCGGTACCATTCAACTTTCCGAACGTCCAGGTTGAAATAAAGAGAGGTCCCAGAAAGTTTGGTATTGAGGCATTTAGAAATAAATAACCTCAAGTCACAACGACCCAAATTAAACTGCAAAACCAAATATAAAATATAAGAGTGAGAGACGACTGAGGTCAAGGTAAACGATGGTGCTCAAATTTCATATTGTTTGAAATTCTACTAACTTGACCGAATTAACAATCTTAGTTATTAATTTCTGAAAGCACATTATATTGACATTTGTGAGATGTTAGCAACCTGAGAAATGACTCCTTCTGAATTATGAAAGATTGTGATGTTAGACATAGTCAAGTCTGGTGTGTGTAAGTAATTAATTACATTTTAATTAAGATGATAAATAAGAGTTTGTTGAACTATTAGGAAATTAATTGTGTATAGAGTTAGGTGTGCTTGCTCTTCCCACTACACTAAGTGGAGGGATATTTGATCTTCATTAATCACTCTCTAATTCAAATTTCAATGGAGAGGGTAAGTAGATTGAGAAGATGTTGGTGACATATTTTTTCTTCTATTCATAATAAAATCATCTTTTAGTTTTTTTAAATTGTTCACAAACTACTTTTGAAACCAACTTTTTCACTTTTAACACACAAAAAAGGGGTAAAAAGGACATTTCAAAATACAATGTGTTACTATTCATCAAAAATCATTCCTTAGTTTAAGAAATGAAAAATTATTAAATGACACTGTTTGAAGCCTTGAATTGAGAAGTACTTTTTGGATTTAGGGTTTTTGGTGGGATTTTATGATTAAGAATGGGAGATATGTTGAAATATTGTTGAGTTGTTTAGAAGGGTGTGAAAATGGCCGGATAATTGGGTTGTAATTTGTATGGCATTGAAATGGGGATTGAAATCTACATTTTTTTGGCCGAATTAAATGGTCTTGACTAGATTCAGCCAAAAAACACAAGTTTTGTTAAAGAAGATGAAATCGATTTTTGGCAAAATACTTGGGATTCAACCGGATTTGGCTTGATTAAGCCAAGACAGGTTTTGTCCAAACAATTGAATAGGTTGAATGGCATGGTTTCGGCCACCTTAGTATCAAAAGGCAGAATTGGCCGAATCTAGCATGGGTTTCGGTCAAAACTTGTCTTTAACTTCCAACTAATTTTCTGTTCGAATACTCTGAAATTGGCTGAAACCCAGACCCAAAATTTGCCTAAACCACCCATTTTCAACATATCCATTGAAATATAAGTTTAATTAACTATAACAACAACAAATCATTTCAAAAATAACTTACTCAACATGTTTTTTTAGACATATAACATACTCAAAATTTTAGATTTGAAACAAAAAACAAAACTTAAAAAAAATGCTAGTTCTCAACTCCCTCCCCTAATTGTGTCATTTATTATAATTTCTCTTAAATAATTCTTCACAAACTATATTTGATTTTATTTAATTTTCTTAAATAATCAAATATTTATTCTTACATATGTTTGTTTACATTAAAAATTTTAATATTTCCTTTCTTTATATTCATTATAAAATATTTGTATAACATGATTTCATTGAATAAAATGCATGTAAAATATTTAAGTATTATTACATAAAATGTTTTCGTTATTTTATAAATGTTTAAATGTTGTTTATATTATAAATATTATGCATTAAAATTATTTCTTTCAATCTATCATTCATATTTTTTAACTTTTAGCAAATGAATAATTGTCCACCGAGGATATAACAGTCAATTTACCGTCTAGCATTAAAAGAAAAATTGCAACACCGTAATCTCCAAGTATGTTCTACTGAATTAAGTTTTGAAAAGACAGAAGTGGTTTGTGACGAATATCCCAATCCGCTAATTTTTTAAATTACTACTGTTTAAAAGTTTTAATTTCTTTGACACATTTCCAATAAATTTCTAATGTTGATAGCTTCTAAGTTACCAGCAAGACTACGCACCCATAACTTCTTTCTCAATATCCTTGGAAATGTTATATATCTTAGTCTCTATGAGGTTTTCAATGGACATCCTAGAGGTTTAGTGAACGAAACAAGAAGACTCCCAGGTTTCGAAATGAAACACTTACACCTTTATAATGAATATACATATTGAAAAATTAACTGTAGACAGAATCTTGGTACAATAACTAATATATCTTTATTTTGTCTTTCTCTTATAATAAAAAGAAATTAGTATCTTACATTTGTCACATGATCGAAATATTAAATAATTACTTTTTATAAATATTATTCAATTATAGTTTTTATATTTCTACAGTTGAAAGGGAGTATGAAACTTTAACCTATGAAATCAATATACAGTTAGATCAGGATTCAAAAATATGTTTTAAGATAACTTTAAAATCAAATGAGAATTACACTATGATTAACGAATTGTGTATTGGTGATATTAGCTAGAAATTTGATTGAAAAGAAATCAAGTATACAAATTGGTTTTTCAGGTGTAAAAGAGAATTGAAAGTCCTTAAAATCAAATGTATGGTGGACATCACACGTAGAGTAGTCTTCATCTACGCGGATTAATTTTTCTTGGGTAGATTCAACGTTCAATTCAATAATTTTATATTAGAAATTTGACTATAACAATGACAAGGTCAGGTAGTTAATTATATATGTGGCGTTAACAAAGTGTAGCAGGCAGATTCATTGACATAAATTAACTTCCCAGAGCAATCAAGACTTTTTAGAACAAAGCAATGATGAATGATGACAGATTGAAGTTAATTAAAGACCTAATTTAATTTCATTCTATGTATTGTATTGACCTCCTTTTAGGTCCAGGTAACACTTGTCTTTCGTCTCTTTCTCTTCTATTTATTCCTTTCTATGTTATCTTCCACTTTTTCAAAACCAAAATTTTAATTTTTTTTTTTAAACTATAATTTCTAAAAGTTGTAATTTCATAAAGATCTTGGTTTACCTTACAGTATTAAATTTGCAGTTAATGATGGAAAAAAATAAAATAAAATTGAATGTATTACTTATAAAGTCTTAAGTTCAATTCTTTTCAATTGCTAAAAAATAAATAAATAAATTGCGCAGAATTGAATAAGTCTCAGGTGTCTAAACCTTTGAATCCAATACAACATTTTGAATTCAAACAATTGTAAAATGTTATTTGATGCCTTAGTTTCCTGAATCATTTTCTTTTCCATTCTAAGTTGTGCTTCTCAATCTCATATGATACTATGTGAATGAGATTGGATGTTAATACGCGTATCTACAAAATTGTACTGATAATGATTTCTTTGTTATAATTAAGTCAAGCTTTATGGACAAATTAATTGCCGAGTTTCAAATTCTAAAATTTCGGCTTGATTAAACCTAATTTCAACAAAACCAGCACCATCAATTGCAACGTCATATATACATCACTACCAATATTTTAATGGACAATAAAACTCTCTCTATAGTCATGACGATGAGATGAATTAATTTATTACTATGAAGATGTTATAACTTAATAAAGGTGTGATAACAAAAATTTCTTTATAATTCATGTTTTAGTAGTACAGTATTATGATTTCAATTGATGTTTTAATACTATTAAGATTTTAATTCAGCGCTTTAATTGCCTACTTTTGAAACGGATAGAAGATCGTATCTTAAAACCAGCAAAGATAAGTGTCCTTGATGGAATTGTAAATGCAGTTGCTGCATTGTCAAATTGATGTGAAACCACAAAATATTGTCAATTGTTTTAAACATTATAAAATTATACAGCAAATTGATGTGAAGCCATATATTATTATCAATTGTTTTAATCATTACAAAATTATGCAGTAAATTGATGTGAAGTCACATATTATTGCTAATTGTTTTAATCATTATCAAATTAAGATCCCCGATGTCGATGAATTGCAAGTTACAATTGAAGTGGATGAGGAGAATCAAAGAGTTATTGTAGAATTTAGTGATCAGATTCGACAACTTCATTACACTAATCGAATGGATATTAATGTCTTTCACAATCATCCAAATGAGCAATAAGTCATGTATATTTTAACTAAAGAAGAAATAATTACTATAATTAGACAAAAAGATAAATGAAATAATCATGAGGGTGATAATACGGAAATATAAAAAGTTTGTGCTAAGAAGCTCTAAACATACTTGAGAAACTAGAAATATATGGCTTCAACAAGAAGATGTTTATGCTAGCGAGTAATCTACCCGCAAGTTAAAAGATGTAGTATTATATCAAACAACTTTAGATAAATATTTTATTTCATCTTAAACCTTTAATGTAACATAACATATATTTTTTTTGCAATATATAGATAATTATTACTATATGAAAACAAATTTTCTTAAGACGGAAATTAGAAAAATTATAACTTATTACAATGTAGAGTTTATTCTTATTTATAACTATCCTAAATTGAGAATTGAATTTTTTATGACTATGTAAAGTTTATTAATATATAGAATATCATTATAGAAAAGTTTTACTGTAATATTGCAAATGACTTCCTCGCTGTCTTTCTCATTAATCCAAGCATTCACGAATTTAATGAATTAAAAACAATGACTTATAATATTCTCTCTTATAATTTTAATTAAATTTTAACTTTAATATTTATCACATTTTCACCCTTTACTATTGCATTGGAGCACTTACATTTAATTCTTGTAGAATTATATTATCATGGTAACGTTAAGTTGTTTATTCATTTTTACAATCTATTCTCTTGTAATGTGATTTTTTAAATGAATATCTATTTTTATAAGACATACTGGAATAATATCGTATATTGAATAATATCACAAATCTTAAATGTTACGTTCAGTGGTGTGCTTCCCTCTTTTGCGAAGAAAAGAAGAGTCACGGAAACGCTGTATTTTTGTCTAAAGTTAAATTCTCTTGAAGAAGAGAAGATATTTCCATAGATTCTACCAATAGCTTCACGACAAGAGCAATGAAATTGATATGCTACCAAGATTAACACTCTAATATCTAATAAAATCATAATCAAGGGCATGGTCGTCGACTATGAGATAGCGTTTCTGCAATTAGGTATATACATATAAGTCCTCTCTTGCGAAGCCATTTTCTAAAATTCAGATGAGTAACTTTTTACATAAAAAATTGTTAAGAAAATAGAAAGACGAAATATTAATTCTCTGCCTAAAAACTAGAGATCGAGTTTATGAGATTTTTTATGTTCCGTAATTTATTCCATTGAGACTTGCCAATAACGCCTGGAAAAAAAAAAAAAAAAAAAATCAACTATCCACATTTGAGAACTTTTATTAATAAAATTTAAATGAATATGGAAATATAACTCCTTACTAAAATAATTCTTAAATGCAAAAATTAATTTGTTGATTTTTATAGAGATCAGTTCAGATCTTTTTTTTTTTTTTTTTTTGTTTGTTTTATTTGTTCTAAAGATTTTTTTACTTGCAGTTACAGAGTTGCTAATTCCAATTATATTAAAAGAAAAAACCCTATAATACTTCATCATTTAGTGTTGAGCCCCATTTTTGCGTCAACACGTTCTTTAATAATTCAAAAGCAAAATTGATGAATTTCAGTGTAGAAAGAAGTCAGCTATACCGATGCATCAAGATCATGTTAAAGAATTCAAGCGTAAGCATAATTAGTGTTGCAAGTCTTCAGATTGAACATGTCAAATTATAGTGAAATTCGTATAATTTGGTAATGGATAGTGAGTCGTTGACGTATTAATTACTTATAATAGAATTCTTGAGGTATACAATGTCACAATCAAATAAGATCAAATTCCACTCAACTCAAAACAAATATACTGTGTTTTTACATAGCATATATAAGTTGTTTATCAACCAAAAAAAAAAAAAGTAAACTCCACCAATTAAATTTAAGTTCAAAATTCACAAGTTATATGGCAAAGAAAGACTATGGAGTTCCGGGATTATTAAACAGTTACTTTTAAATTAATGATCAATGTTATATCTTCATTAATAAATCAGCTGAAGATCGTTATTTATAAATAATAGAAGACGATGGTGTACGTAAAATAAAAGAAGAAGAGAAAACTATAAGATAAACTGGCCTAAAATCACATGCAAATAATAGAGATTAGACGTACAAATTATCGTATTTAGCAGCTATTGATTTGGAAACAAGATGAGTTTGGGATTGAAGTATGAAAGGGAAAAAGAATGATAAGAGTAGAGAGAAAGGTTAAAAAAGGGAGGTATGTTTAATGTTTTTGATTGTCCTGAAAATCCGGTGATAATATATTTGTCGGGAAAATTAGTTTGTTGATTGAAATAAGAATGAAGAGATAAGAGTTAAGAGTGGGGTAGGGGATTTTGTGTTTGTCCAAAGATCATAGGCATGGTTCGCGGGGGGATAGTGGCGTTCACTGTTTTGTTTTAACAACATGTAAGCTAACTGTGTTTTTTCCTGCACTGCATCTTTCATTTCATCGGTGACTTATCTTTTAACGCGGCTTCAGAAGAAGATTTTGTCCTTGCATTTGTGTCAAACTGATAGTGATGGTGTCTGAGGTGTGCTGGCGTGTTTTTTTCTGCACAAATACTTAACCATGCAATTATTCACCGACATGGATGAATTGTATTTTAGCTGATAAAATAAATAAATTGTTTCTTCTCTTCTCAATCTGCCATATCAGTTGGCAAAGTTTAGCTGGATTTTACCTGAAGATGTGCTATAAGCTTTGTTCAATTAATCAAATAAATATGATCTGTTTTTTCAATTTTTACATAATTAGAATACAGTTTTGCTGATTTGAGCTGTCTCAAATTTTACAGATGGGACAAATGATTGAAATTACAGCAGAGAATTAGGTTGCTTTTAATTTCTAACTAAGCTGATTTTATTTGGCAGTTTGTAGTTGTTCCCACAAAGGCCCTACCACATAGAAAATTAAATTCAAAAGGAAAAAAGGTTTAACTTATAATAATTATGAAATAGTTTTCCCACAAAGCGTCGGTAATTTCAGGCTTAAATAGATTTTTTGCTATAGTTGTTGATAAATTAGACAACAAAGAATTAATGTTGCTAATAGAGGTGGTTACTCAAGACTTACCCGATCATAAACTTTAGGGTCTCGAGAAATTAGTTGAAATGCATGTAAGTTGCTTCGAATACTCTCGGTCAACAAAAAAAAAAAAAAAAAAAGGGAAATTAACATTGTCTGAGGTAAATTATATGCACCCCACATATACTTTATACATTTGATTTCTAATTAAAAAATAGATCAAATTCTCAACATTTAAATATTTTTCTATGTTTGAAAATTCCCAGAATGGCAGTTATAAAAGAATGTCAAAATAATGAAACATCCTCTATGACTAATAATATTGATTTAATTAATTAAAAATAAAGAAATGGGCCGGGCTTCTATTACGCAGCTTATATTGAAATTAAGTTATAGACATCATTAACCCAGTTAGGTCACCATTAAATATTGCGCAATGGAGGTTACACTGCATTACCCATATTTTATACATTGATTTCATTCTCTCTCTCTCTCTCTCTCTCTCTCTCTCTCTCATTTTTTTTTTTTTAATATATATATATATATCATTTCTCTGTTCTTTTAGGTATTGACCGACTGCCCTCTTCTCCTCAATGTCAATATATTTTAAGAGAAATGTGAATACGGGTCAAATTCCATTACATATATCTAGACCCGAAATTAAATAATGTCTAAATATTAATTGCAAATTCTTCAAACTGTTCTGGGATTCTCTTCATTTTCTGATCAATTTGATTTTGTGCGTGTCATTTTCTTTAACCCCACCACTAATCAATCTATCTCTCTCTAACCAAACAAAGGCAAAGTAGAAAAAAAAAAATTTTTTTGAGGGAAAAAAAATCCTAAAAGACAAACCAAACAACCTTTAGAAATCAACTTAAGTGCAAAGGCTTTCCCACATAAGTCTGAATATAAACCATCTGAGGATAGAATTCCTGGAATTCTCCCAAGATGGGGTTAAGGAGCTACCATGTAGAAGACAACAATTTATGCTTTCAATCGCCTACTTTCATTGAATGGCTCAAGCCGTCTTCTAATTCTCCTCCTTCCTCACTGTCATCCTCTTCTTCTTCTGTCACCACACAACAATATTTGCAGTACCAGTTCACGGATCCCATGAGCGGGGGAAGTATTCAATGCCTGCCTCTTCTAAGTGGTTTTACGGAGAAAAAACCATTGAAAGAGGAGGAAGATTCAACAAGAGTGCAGGAGATTAGTCTCGGTGTTAAAGAAGAGAAGATAGAGAAAGTTACAGTGGCCTTACACATTGGATTACCGAACGCCGGAGATATTTCTGATGTTGAAAACAAGTGTTTAGACATTAAGGAAGAAGTAGTAGGCAACAAGAAAAGCGCCTTTAATGGATGTTCTATCAACAAAGATAATAGGTTTTGGATCCCAACTCCTGCACAAATCCTTGTTGGGCCGATGCAATTTTCTTGCTCCATATGCAGTAAAACCTTTAATAGGTACAATAACATGCAGGTTAGTTTAATTCTTCTCTCTCTTTGATCTCTCTTTCAGATATCCTTTCCGCATATAAACAAGAAAGTTCATAAATTTGGATGCCGGCAGTTTCTTGATTTTTGATTTTGCTATATTTCTTTTTATTGATTATTTTTAAAGGTTGATACCTTAACGTCTGCACCTATTTCTTTCGTTCTTTGTTTTGTTTGATGAAATCAAAACTGTACTGTTGTTTCATTCGCATCTCGGCTTAATTTCCTACCCGAGGATAAGGTGCTGAGGAAACTCCTTTAAGATCTGGTCCAAATTTGTCGTTTATGCAAGGGACATATAATGAAGTACTAACACAATGTACAACAATGATGCCAAACATTTATATTGATTTACAGAAGTATGCATTTTGTAAATTAAAATAAAAAATAGAAAAAACATTTGAGAGTTAAGTTCTGATAAAAGTATTTTTGAGGTAAATTAGTTCTGAAGTTCAAAAGTATTGTGGGAGTTCAAAGGACGTTAATCATGATGTTCATAAATCAAATAATTGTTAGCAATACTATGGTTCAAATGTTTCATCTTAATTATAATAATTCAAGAAAAGAGGCTTTCATTAGTCTTAGTTTATTGCTTTCTTCCTTTCATTTTTCTTCTTTTTCTTCTTCTTTTCTCGTTTAAATGCAAAGTTTTAACCTCTACTAGTACGATCTATAAATCTGTTTTACATTATATAAGTATCAAGTAGTATCATGCTGTAGGAAATTATGTGTAGAGTGACAATGTAATTTTCTGTCCAAGAGTACTTTAGTAAGTTCAATATTAAAACAAAAAAAAAAAAAAAAATCAAGCATATATACATCCTTAATTAGGATTTGATATTTGGGGTTTATGTACACAAAAATAGTTTAGGCCTTTATTGTGAAAGTACAGATTTATACGACCCTTCAAAGATCCCTCTCCATAGGATTTGAGCTTATTCTCTTGATTGATTAATATATGGAGGATACTTGATATGATATATATATATTCTCTTGGCTTTAGGTGAGTAAAGATTCGATGATTTATTGGTAATATAAACCCCATTTCTTTTGACAATTGTCCTTCACTGCCTCCCTTTAGGGTGAAAAGTTAAGGAGGAAAGAACGCAAGTTGGGGTAGGAGAAAAGTTATTAAAAGATTAATTATACAAAGATAGGGCAGGGAGTTGGTAATAATGATTAACGGAAAATATATATATGCTTTCACATAATTGTCATCTAGATAGAAATCTGAGTGGCGTTTTACTGAACCTTGGATACTCTTCCTTCAATTAATAATGCTCAACTTTTTTATTACTTTATGATTGTAATAATGTTGCTTGCAAAATCAATCCTCTTTAGAAAACCAATTAACAACAGTAGGGATCTTTTTGTTTTTTTTTTTTGTTTTTTGGAAAGAAAGTTGAAATATATATAAAACAATCCAACCTTTGACAACTCTCGAAAGTTCATTTCATGAATGACAGTCGTGTTGCAAGTTCATTTGTCTAAATTTAGAAGCAACCCGACTTTGACATATCTCACTTAAAGTCTAAAACATAGATTAGAGAGAGTCAATACACGTTCTAAACCTGGTAACTTAGAGGCATGTTGAATACGAAATGCATATTTTTTTAATTAGAAAACATGCGCTGAATTTAATTTCTTGGTACAGATGCATATGTGGGGGCACGGATCTGAATACAGAAAAGGTCCAGATTCGCTTAAAGGAACACAACCAGCGGCAATGCTAAGGTTACCATGTTATTGTTGTGCTCAAGGTTGCAAGAACAACATCAACCATCCTCGTGCCAAGCCATTGAAAGATTTCAGGACACTTCAAACACACTTCAAACGAAAGCATGGTGCAAAGCCGTTTATCTGCAGAAAATGTGGGAAGACATTTGCAGTTAAAGGAGACTGGAGAACACATGAAAAAAATTGTGGAAAGTTATGGTATTGCACTTGTGGTTCGGATTTCAAGCATAAAAGATCTCTAAAGGATCACATTAGGTCATTTGGGAAAGGCCATTCTCCACACCCGTCTCTCGATGGCTTTGATCAAGATGAGAAGGAATGCATCACCGGCTCTGAAGATGAAATCGCTCGCTAGTTTTTGAGGGTTTCAAAAGGTTTAATTTTCTTGTCTAGCACTACTAGAAAAACAGCCTTCTTTGACAGACAAAAACCATCAAACACCCTTGTTAAGAGGTGACTGTCAAAGAAAGCTATTTTTCTACTAGTGTCTTCAGTTCATGTCTGTTTTGTTTTGGAAGTTAAGAATAGATGCTACAAGTTTTTAGCTAGGCTCATGCATGGAGGCTTGTGCTCAGTAACAAAACATTCTCAACAAGAACGTTGGGAGCGATTTGCTACGGAGCACTTGCCGGGCATTGAGCTATAATATCTTAAGTCTTTTATGCATAGTATTTACGTAGAAAAATAAGGAGACTGCCTCAAGTAGTCGTGAAGCTGATGAATTTTCTTCTTCTAGTAGCATGCACAATTGCATTGTTTAAGTCTATGTACCTCTCCAAGAGGGAAAATTCGTCCGCTTCATTGCTAATTGGTAATCTTTATGTAAGGATTGTGTGGTTTAATCTCTTTCTTGCTCTCATATATGTGAACATTAATGTTATGTTATTACTCTCTATTACTTACATAATCTTAATTATCAGTTTCTCTTTTACCTTATAATCTCCATTGATTCAAACACACGGCAAAATCCAATCACATTTATATGTGACCCTTCTCGTATATGCAGTAGAACATTTCTATAATCAAAATGGTGGGACCAAATAATTTTATTATTATGAGGAGGTTAGTTATAGTTACAAAAAATATTGTTTTAACTTAATTATCCTTCGTGCAAGTGGTATATAGGGAAAGTATGCACTAATCAAATTAATTTTAATATCTTTCTTAATCATCTAAATGAACAACAAGTCGTATATACTTTAACAAAAAAAAAAAAAAATCATTATTACAATTAAACAAGAAAAGGAAGGAGATAAATGTGAGGATGATAGCACAGAAATACAAAAAGTTTAATGCCAAAAAGCTCTAAACATATTTGAGAACCTATAAATATTTTGGCTTCAACAAAAAGATATCCATGCTAATGAATTATTATGTATCCGCAAGTTTAAGGATGTGATAATAACTTTAAAACATAAATTATTGTCTCAAACAACTTTAAATAAATATTTTATTTCATCTTAAACCTTTAAGGGTCTGCTTGGAAGTTTTATGGTAGCAGTTATGAGGGTAAATCATCGTAGCGATTTTAAGGGTAAACCACCATAGCGGTTTTGAGGGGCTTTTAGAAGCAGTTTTTAAAACACCCAACCTGTGCTTGCGAGTTTATTTTCCAGCGGTTCTGACAGTTTTTTAAAATAATAAATTTACATATATGCCCATAAAAATACCCCAACTTCAACCATTATTTGGGGTTTTTTTTTTCAATTATCATTACTTAGTATCAAAGTTCCTTCCAAGTTTAATTTATTTGTAAGTTCTTTCATTATATATTATTTAATTCATCACACAATCATTCGAAATCTGTTATTTTAAGAGAATAAATATGCTGCCCCAATGTTGGACTTCGCAAATTATCAATATAACAGTCGCAACAACATTTCTAAAAAATAGTTTTTTGTTCTTTTCTTCAATCAGTGAAGCAAAGCCATAAAAAACAATCTTTATTTAACAAACTGACAAGGATTCAATCAATCACCTAAACGCAAATAGAAAGAATCAAATAGAGGAAAAAACAAATAATTTTGTAAAATAACTGGTAAAGAAATGCAATTAAATTGTATACAGCCTGCAGAGGAATTTACCAAATTAAAAGAACAAAAAGTTGGAGGGGAAAATGTAGAAGAAAGAAAGAAAAACCTTCTTATCTCTAATGAAGGATTAGAAAGCCTAAGATAAAAGATTTAAAAGCATTGTAACAGTCATCTAAAAGTTGAAGATTGAATGGGGTTTGAAGAAATTTTTAAAATAGCAAAGGGATTATTGTATATGAATAATAGTGGAAATGGGTTTTTTTGGGATAAAATTTTTAAACCAGCCAAAACACCTCGATTTGGGGTGTTTTATAAACCCCTAAAAAATATATTACACTGGTTTTTGGGGGTTTTTAAACCAGTCAAAATCAGTCCATAAAAAATCTGGTAAGTAATGGTTTTTAAACATCTTAAAACCAGTCTAATTAAAAATCCCCCAAAACCAGTGAAAAAAAAACTCCCAAGCAGACCCTAAAGTAATATAATATATATTTTTTGCAATATATGGATAATTATTACTATATGGAGACAAGTTTCTTAAAATAGGACTTAAAAATCTTACAACTTATTACAATGTAAAGTTTATTTTCATTTATAAAGTTTATTCTCGTTTATAATTGGTCTAAGTTGAAGTCATAATTTTTTAAGTAACAGTAAGAACCCATGTCTGAAATATAAGCACAGAGCACCACATTACCCTACCATCCATTAACTTTAATTATTTTCTATCTAATCATCACTATAGAAAGACCATTTTGTCATTCATTTATTGATTGAGCGTAGAGAGCCAAAAATACCAGCTAATTGACTGAGTGATTACATGAGAACAATTAAATTAAAAAAGATAATTATATCCAAACTGAATACTTAAATAATACAAATTGATTAATTTTAAATTAATAAATTAAAAAACTTTTAAGTTATTGCTTATTGATTAATTTTTTTTTTTTTTTTCAAGAAAAGAAAATGGTTTAGCAGAGTCGATGACTATCAGCACAAGCATGCCTTTAGCAGCTCAAGCCAACAACAAATTTATCATTTTTTATCGATGATATTGTCATCAGTATAGAATGTTACATTTATCGTAGGAGATAAAAACGATAGATACGAACAATCACCCCAACTCTTATCATAGAACCGATTCATTCCTCTTTCCTTGTTACCCTGGTAAGACGAACATCACATCTTAATGTCACATGTCAACATTTCATTAGTCTAGTTTTTCTCTATTGTGCCTTTGAGTTTGTAATATACTAGATCATTGAAAATTGTTAAATTATTACCCTACCCTTGTCACAGTTAAATAGGCATCACTGTTAATTAGGATTATATTCGTGTCTTTGAAACATGAATCTCATCATTTTACTCCAAAAAAAAAAAAAAAAAAAAAAAATTTGTTCTTTTAGTGATAATCTCGCAATTTGTAATAAGCAATTGCATGATATATTTCGGAACCTCGCTCGCACCAATATGATATTTGATCACTTTGGATATTGTTCACACAACTCTGTTATTAAAATCAGTCACTCGAAAGACTTCATAATACTGTATTTGAGAATAAGTTGTTCATATATATTCCATATCCAAAAAATATTATTGGAATTTTGAACTGTCCTAATCATCTTATTCATCTTCACCTAACCTTTTAACTCATTAAACCTAGGGAGGTTGGATATACCTTGGATGCGACTGAATCCCATTATGATGGTTGATTTTCGTTGAATGAAGTATTAAAAGTTCAGAAATAGTTTAATAACTGATTGGGTCCTTTTCTATACATTTAAAAGTCTGGATCCACGTGTGTTGTCATTAGTATATTGGCACAAACTAAACTGTAAAACCTGGACCTTTGATATGAACTAATAGTTATTAAATTTTGGTGTGATTTAATTTGCTCTTTGTATATCAATACTCTAGTTACATAGAAAACAATTTCAACCTCTCTCTAATCCAATAGAAAACTAAACTTTAACTGAAGAAACCACAGCTAGCTCAGAGTCGCACTTCCTTTTGCACAGATCTAATAGAGAAAGAGATGGAGAAATTAAGGAAAGTCGCACCTTTAACCATATATCCAGCATTTGTTGCCCACCAAGTGGGGCATTACTTAAAACTTTCTCAAACGTAAAACATGAATTATATTAGTTTGCACTTAGTGGAGATTTGCAACTTTTGATTACGTATTAGGATAATGAATATATATATTTATATAAATATCAATTCAACCCTTTCATATTGTATACAGTAGTTTTGTTGCTTTGTTCAACTTTTCAAACCCTAGCCTCTAGAACCTCTTTTTTCTTTTCGTTTCGGTTGAAACTGAACAGTAAATGATTGTAAGATAATGCCATATTATTTAGAATTTAATACATATTAATTCAATTAAAAATAGTTATACATATTAGAACTCTTAATTGAAAAATAATTAGAGAATGAGTAATATTACACTTGCTGACTTTATCATTCTATGAATCAACTGATTTGACATTACTTGGACGATAAAATGATTATGTGGCTATGAATTTGACAATTATGTATGTAATGTATATATTTCTGAAATAGAGAAGTGAGTGTTGTCAAAGGATTACTGTAAAATAGCACCAGGGTGAGGGTGACACTATTTTTCAAAGGCAAGGAAAGGACGTTAGTGAGAGTCCAACTCGGAGGCCTCACCAGTCACCAATCCTCCAACTACTGATTATTTAAAAAATCAACTAGAGAATGATTAGCTATTAATTAAGCGGAAAGGAGTGTTCTGTAGTCTTCCTTAATGGGATTTAATTAGTTAATTAATTGATAATATAAACAAAAATTAAGAAAAAAGTAAAAATGTATATATGAAAAAAGAAGAAAGATGATGAAGATAGCTTGTACATGTGAAAAGGAGATTTGGGCAAGGACTTTTTTCAAAAGAAGACACAAGAGCATCATCATACTTTTGCAAACAAGAGATTGAAATTTGGTTACATTCGAGGTAATCAGCTTGACCAACTATAAAGTTGTGGGGAAAATGTGAAAGAAAGCAATTGATAGGGGACCGCCACTATGCTTTGTCGGGGAAGAAAAAATCAAATCAAACGTTCAAAACCTGTCTAATTATCCGCTACCTCCAATTCCATTCATCCTCCGACTAATTAATCTTTGATTAAGAGCTTTATTAGTGTTAAGTTTAATGACCTCTTCTAATCTTCTCTAGTTAGGTTTAACAATAATTATTGCTAATATGTCAACTTTTTCTGTACTTCATTAATTAAATTACAATTTCTCTATAATTTTTTTTTCTTTTTTGATAATCGAGGTGTATGGGTCAGCTTACGTGCACCTCAACTAATTTTCGAAGTTCATTGAACATCATACAAGTCTAAAGTATCAGGTAAATCATAATGTTATTATAATAGGCGACTCCAAGGTTTAAACCCAAAAACTCAAGGAATGGAACAAACCTCCTTAACCGTCAAGTCAACTCCTTGGGGTTAACTTCTACATAGTTTGTGGTCAAATATAGGATGTATTTAGTGGGTTGTATTGAATATTATAACAATAGATTATGAGACCTTCGACTTTACTAATGTAATTACATTAATCTCATATTTGGCTGCTTTAATAGTGGACAGTGGCGGACCGCCTGTTAGGCCTGGCCTGGCCCTTTTTCATATTTTATGTAAGGACATAACAATTATAACCTTTAAAAGCAATTGAGTTTAATAAGTCGTATCAGAGTAATGTCATGTTAACAATCAACTTAAAAGCTTACTCTTGTAGGTAAGGGCTTAACTTATTCCAATAAGCTCCTTCACATGAGACTTGGATTTTAATTTTTATAAAGGTGAAATATGAGGATTTGAACTTATG